GAATGCCAATCTCTGATAATCCAAGTAGGATTGGGGAATTATTCCCTAGCCTACAGGGATAAAATAAAAGTTAAATGGTACTGGTAAATACCAACGTGTGCAGCGACAGTTCTTATTTGGTTTGATTTCTAATCTGGAAAAACGACGACCACAGAAAATAGCTAATAGGAGAGAAAGATAAATGACAAGCATATTGGTTATTACTATACTAGGCCTAAGGGGCTGACCATTTCATGTTCTGTTGGAAGGGGGAGTGGGCGACCTTGGATTTTGTATGGAGACTAGATATTTTTCAGATACAAATGCAAAATCAGCTAAAATTATGAGCCTAAATAAAACATTTTTCAAAATCCCACCTTGCAACAACGTATTTTTGGTGGCTGACATGTTCTTTTTGTCCAACAGATGGAAGCATAATTAGTTTTCAATCAATTTCGGAGACAATATATTTATTTTCTGAAAAAATCCTAGCCACCCACACACTCACAGTCAGAGAAATCCTATTGACCGTCCCATTTTGAAAACGCTGATGTGGACGTACAGGGGTAGAATTCAGACCCCTTGTATTATTTAGGTATTTTTGTAGAATGCAAGAAACGAATATTACGTCATATATATATACATCAATCTACTCTTGCATACGAGTAGGTGTCAGTATAGGCTTGCTTCTTGCGCCTGGCCTCGGCCTATGTATAAAAGCATGCCTTCTGCAATATCTGAAGACCACGGGCCAAAGGACCAGCAGTGAGGTCGACTCCTGTAAAGCCATAATGATGAGACGAGTGGAATCCAATATTGACTTGGGCGAAGGGAGATCACTCTCAATCCCTTGTCCGACTACTGCTATTAGTTGGGTGAAGTGCTCGTAATATATCCCATGTGGCGACACTTGTGTTTTAGAGAAGGCAATTCTCGATTCGCACTCCTTTAAAAGGAAGCCACAATTATTGTTACATTAGAAACGATGAGCTATTACATTAAAATAAAAAAATTATTCCAGATAACAAAGTGTCAGAGAGCTGTCCTCAGAGAATATCCCGTGTCACAATTGTCGCCACATAAACATTTAGAAGTGTCTGATATTAAGGTAACCCCACCTACTTAGAAATCTTCTGCTAAGTGCAGATCATGAAACTGGGACACAGCAGCACAGCAATATAGGGGCAACATTCACTTTTTAACAATATCCATATGAATTTATGTCTCATGTTCGGAAACCCTGGGATTTGGGCAGACGCCAATATTGCGATGCTGCTGTCACCCAGATATTATTAGCTGTAAGGAAGAAACACTGTAGAGAAAACAAACAACTTGTGTATACATTACAGAAACATTTATTCAGATGACCGAAAGTCGAAAGTAATATGCCTCAAGGGAGATCCAAAAACGGGCCAAAATTGTATAGAAAGTATGGTCTTGTGCCATGCTAATAAGCCAAGAGGTTTGCCAAAAGGAAACTGAAAGTTGGGCCAAAACTGGGAGCCTAAAAATACGCCAAAAATACGCTGGAATGGTAGTCTCTCTCTCTCTCTCTCTCTCTCTCTCTCTCTCTCTCATACACACATACATGTAGGCTCGTTCATTCACGCCAACTCTCATCTCTAACATATATACACAATATACACACTCCCTCTCACACATACATACACACATCATACATACATGCTCATTCACTCGCTCACACTCACACACAAACACTCACACACACATACACACATACAGACAGACATGATAATTCAACCTTTCATTTACTCTTACACGCACACAATACACACACACAAACATACATATTCATTCAGTCTCTCTCTCTCTCTCTCTCTCTCTCTCTCTCTCTCTCTCTCTCTCTCTCTCTCTATCACACACACACACACACACACACACATGCTCATTCAATCTTATATTTACTCTCACACAAACGCACACATACATACAAACCTGCTCATTCATTCACTCACTTGCACACATTCAGACATTAAAAGGATAAAGGAGTCTAAGAGAAGATCTTCCTAAAGAAGGCAGCCGCTCTCGTCAGCGCCTTTCTAAAGGGATGAATCTCTCTGTCATCCACAAAGCTGTGGTCGTCCTCGTCCTCGTACACCCAGTAGTCACTGTCATCATCGTCACTTGGGGCAGGATAGTAATCAGCGTGGTTGATGGTGACGGGGGCGGGGAGCGTCTCACCGTAGACAGGGCGGGCCCAGAACGGAGTGAAGACGCTCAGGGGGTCGGGACAACGGGAAGGGGACACAGCCAGGGAACGCTACACATCGAGGGGATGGAGGGAGGGACAAAGGAAGTCAGGTCAGACAGAAATACGGGATACTTTTGCAAAGAAAACGAATCACAGTTTATTATAGGGACTTGGCAGACTTAATGTGCAACAAATCAGCTATACTAGACGGAAGAATTAACAGGGTGGGCATGTAAAATTATACATACACAGTCGGACTCCTCATCCTGAGACGGCCACAAACTCACAGCCGCAGGAGTGCCATAATAGCGAATTATGTCCTGCCGAGCTGAAAAAGAAAAACGAAAGCTAGGCTCAGTTAAATGTACGCCGACGGCTACGTTCAAAAAATCACAATTTACGACTTCTGAAAGCTACAGTATGTCACTCGACCTCGGCCCTTTGACACCTCGAACTCCAAGTGTATGTAGGGTTACAGGCTGTGCTGCAAGACGACGTTTAACCAATAAAATGGGCCAAACAGCTGCTTTTCACGTAATACAGGTTATCTTACATCTGTACTACATCGCCCGACACTATAATGTACGAACAGGTTTCATCTGAGCACCACATGTCAAGTTTACAATCTAAAATGTTCAGTTAAGACAATTGCAAATGGCGGCCGCCATCTTCAGTCCCGATACAGCTGCCTAACAACGACCAATTTCACGTCTAATTTAACATCTTAATACTGTTAAGTGGAATAATTGTGATCTTAAATACCTTGAATGTGAAGCCTTGTATTCATCTTGGAAGAAGAAACACTTGGAATGATACAGCAGTGAGCAAAACGTAGAGGTCAGCGGAGCAAAAGCGATCGTTTTTTCTGTTGAAAACAGAAGGGACGTCGATAACGGCAACGGTAACTACGTTACGGAGTTCGAGGAGTCTGAACGAGGCTCATCGCCAGCTTCCGGCGTGGTCAAGCCTAATGGCATTGCCGAGGATGAAACTGCCGGGTTTATTTCGTCTGAACACCGGGATTAAGTTGTAACTTACAACTGAAACGTTGCCTACATCAGTTTGAAAACATTGTGCAGGTGAAACTGGGTGTTTTTCGTGCCTCCATTACTCGAAACAGGGTGAATTTTGTTCACTTTGATATGGATCATCTCTTGTAGACATTAACCTTAAACGTTTGCTAGGCCGAATAGCGATACCATATAACGACCCTCTATTATACCAGCCTTCACAATACCTTTTACATTCGACAGACTGACACGGGCTAACGGGCTAGTAAGAATGCCAATCTCTGATAATCCAAGTGGGAGTGGGGAATTATTCCCTAGCCTACAGGGATAAAATAAAAGTTAAATGGTACTGGTAAATACCAACGTGTGCAGCGACAGTTCTTATTTGGTTTGATTTCTATTCTGGAAAAACGACGACCACAGAAAATAGCTAATAGGAGAGAAAGATAAATGACAAGCATATTGGTTATTACTATACTAGGCCTAAGGGGCCGACCATTTCATGTTCTGTTGGAAGGGGGAGTGGGCGACCTTGGATTTTGTATGGAGACTAGATATTTTTCAGCTACAAATGCAAAATCAGCTAAAATTTGAGCCTAAATAAAACATTTTTCAAAATCCCACCTTGCAACAACGTATTTGTGGTGGCTGACATGTTCTTTTTGTCCAACAGATGGAAGCATAATTAGTTTTCAATCAATTTCGGAGACACTATATTTATTTTCTGAAAAAATCCTAGCGACCCACACACTCACAGTCAGAGAAATCCTATTGACCGTCCCATTTTGAAAAAGGTGATGTGGACGTACAGGGGTAGAATTCAGACCCCTTGTATTATTTAGGTATTTTTGTAGAATGCAAGATACGAATATTACGTCATATATATATACATCAATCTACTCTTGCATACGAGTAGGTGTCAGTATAGGCTTTCTACTTGCGCCTGGCCTCGGCCTATGTATAAAAGCATGCCTTCTGCAATATCTGAAGACCACGGGCCAAAGGACCAGCAGTGAGGTCGACTCCTGTAAAGCCATAATGATGAGACGAGTGGAATCCAATATTGACTTGGGCGAAGGGAGATCACTCTCAATCCCTTGTCCGACTACTGCTATTAGTTGGGTGAAGTGCTCGTAATATATCCCATGTGGCGACACTTGTGTTTTAGAGAAGGCAATTCTCGATTCGCACTCCTTTAAAAGGAAGCCACAATTATTGTTACATTAGATACGATGAGTTATTATATTGGAATAAAAACATTATTCCAGGTAACAAAGTGTCAGAGAGCTGTCCTCAGAGAATATCCCGTGTCACAATTGTCGCCACATAAACATTTAGAAGTGTCTGATCTTAAGGTAACCCCACCTGCTTAGAAATCTTCTGCTAAGTGCAGATCATGAAACTGGGACACAGCAGCACAGCAATATAGGGGCAACATTCACTTTTTAACAATATCCATATGAATTTATGTCTCATGTTCGGAAACCCTGGGATTTGGGCAGATGCCAATATTGCGATGCTGCTGTCACCCAGATATTATTAGCTGTAAGGAAGAAACACTGTAGAGAAAACAAACAACTTGTGTATACATTACAGAAACATTTATTCAGATGACCGAAAGTCGAAAGTAATATGCCTCAAGGGAGATCCTAAAACGGGCCAAAATTGTATAGAAAGTATGGTCTTGTGCCATGCTAATAAGCCAAGAGGTTTGCCAAAAGGAAACTGAAAGTTGGGCCAAAACTGTGAGCCTAAAAATACGCCAAAAAATACGCTGGAATGGTAGTCTCTCTCTCTCTCTCTCTCTCTCTCTCTCTCTCTCTCTCTCTCTCTCTCTCTCTCTCTCTCTCTCTCTCATACACACATACATGTAGGCTCGTTCATTCACGCCAACTCTCATCTCTAACATATATACACAATATACACACTCCCTCTCACACATACATACACACATCATACATACATGCTCATTCACTCTCTCACACTCACACACAACCACTCACACACACATATACACACATACATGCATACAGACAGACATGATAATTCAACCTTTCATTTACTCTTACACGCACACAATACACACACACAAACATACATATTCATTCAGTCTCTCTCTCTCTCTCTCTCTCTCTCTCTCTCTCTCTCTCTCTCTCTCTCTCTCTATCACACACACACACACACACACACACACACACACACACACATGCTCATTCAATCTTATATTTACTCTCACACAAACGCACACATACATACAAACCTGCTCATTCATTCACTCACTTGCACACATTCAGACATTAAAAGGATAAAGGAGTCTAAGAGAAGATCTTCCTAAAGAAGGCAGCCGCTCTCGTCAGCGCCTTTCTAAAGGGATGAATCTCTCTGTCATCCACAAAGCTGTGGTCGTCCTCGTCCTCGTACACCCAGTAGTCACTGTCATCATCGTCACTTGGGGCAGGATAGTAATCAGCGTGGTTGATGGTGACGGGGGCGGGGAGCGTCTCACCGTAGACAGGGCGGGCCCAGAACGGAGTGAAGACGCTCAGGGGGTCGGGACAACGGGAAGGGGACACAGCCAGGGAACGCTACACATCGAGGGGATGGAGGGAGGGACAAAGGAAGTCAGGTCAGACAGAAATACGGGATACTTTTGCAAAGAAAACGAATCACAGTTTATTATAGGGACTTGGCAGACTTAATGTGCAACAAATCAGCTATACTAGACGGAAGAATTAACAGGGTGGGCATGTAAAATTATACATACACAGTCGGACTCCTCATCCTGAGACGGCCACAAACTCACAGCCGCAGGAGTGCCATAATAGCGAATTATGTCCTCCCGAGCTGAAAAAGAAAAACGAAAGCTAGGCTCAGTTAAATGTACGCCGACGGCTACGTTCAAAAAATCACAATTTACGACTTCTGAAAGCTACAGTATGTCACTCGACCTCGGCCCTTTGACACCTCGAACTCCAAGTGTATGTAGGGTTACAGGCTGTGCTGCAAGACGACGTTTAACCAATAAAATGGGCCAAACAGCTGCTTTTCACGTAATACAGGTTATCTTACATCTGTACTACATCGCCCGACACTATAATGTACGAACAGGTTTCATCTGAGCACCACATGTCAAGTTTACAATCTAAAATGTTCAGTTAAGACAATTGCAAATGGCGGCCGCCATCTTCAGTCCCGATACAGCTGCCTAACAACGACCAATTTCACGTCTAATTTAACATCTTAATACTGTTAAGTGGAATAATTGTGATCTTAAATACCTTGAATGTGAAGCCTTGTATTCATCTTGGAAGAAGAAACACTTGGAATGATACAGCAGTGAGCAAAACGTAGAGGTCAGCGGAGCAAAAGCGATCGTTTTTTCTGTTGAAAACAGAAGGGACGTCGATAACGGCAACGGTAACTACGTTACGGAGTTCGAGGAGTCAGAACGAGGCTCATCGCCAGCTTCCGGCGTGGTCAAGCCTAATGGCATTGCCGAGGGTGAAACTGCCGGGTTTATTTCGTCTGAACACCGGGATTAAGTTGTAACTTACAACTGAAACGTTGCCTACATCAGTTTGAAAACATTGTGCAGGTGAAACTGGGTGTTTTTCGTGCCTCCATTACTCGAAACAGGGTGAATTTTGTTCACTTTGATATGGATCATCTCTTGTAGACATTAACCTTAAACGTTTGCTAGGCCGAATAGCGATACCATATAACGACCCTCTATTATACCAGCCTTCACAATACCTTTTACATTCGACAGACTGACACGGGCTAACGGGCTAGTAAGAATGCCAATCTCTGATAATCCAAGTGGGAGTGGGGAATTATTCCCTAGCCTACAGGGATAAAATAAAAGTTAAATGGTACTGGTAAATACCAACGTGTGCAGCGACAGTTCTTATTTGGTTTGATTTCTATTCTGGAAAAACGACGACCACAGAAAATAGCTAATAGGAGAGAAAGATAAATGACAAGCATATTGGTTATTACTATACTAGGCCTAAGGGGCCGACCATTTCATGTTCTGTTGGAAGGGGGAGTGGGCGACCTTGGATTTTGTATGGAGACTAGATATTTTTCAGCTACAAATGCAAAATCAGCTAAAATTTGAGCCTAAATAAAACATTTTTCAAAATCCCACCTTGCAACAACGTATTTGTGGTGGCTGACATGTTCTTTTTGTCCAACAGATGGAAGCATAATTAGTTTTCAATCAATTTCGGAGACACTATATTTATTTTCTGAAAAAATCCTAGCGACCCACACACTCACAGTCAGAGAAATCCTATTGACCGTCCCATTTTGAAAACGCTGATGTGGACGTACAGGGGTAGAATTCAGACCCCTTGTATTATTTAGGTATTTTTGTAGAATGCAAGATACGAATATTACGTCATATATATATACATCAATCTACTCTTGCATACGAGTAGGTGTCAGTATAGGCTTTCTACTTGCGCCTGGCCTCGGCCTATGTATAAAAGCATGCCTTCTGCAATATCTGAAGACCACGGGCCAAAGGACCAGCAGTGAGGTCGACTCCTGTAAAGCCATAATGATGAGACGAGTGGAATCCAATATTGACTTGGGCGAAGGGAGATCACTCTCAATCCCTTGTCCGACTACTGCTATTAGTTGGGTGAAGTGCTCGTAATATATCCCATGTGGCGACACTTGTGTTTTAGAGAAGGCAATTCTCGATTCGCACTCCTTTAAAAGGAAGCCACAATTATTGTTACATTAGATACGATGAGTTATTATATTGGAATAAAAACATTATTCCAGATAACAAAGTGTCAGAGAGCTGTCCTCAGAGAATATCCCGTGTCACAATTGTCGCCACATAAACATTTAGAAGTGTCTGATCTTAAGGTAACCCCACCTGCTTAGAAATCTTCTGCTAAGTGCAGATCATGAAACTGGGACACAGCAGCACAGCAATATAGGGGCAACATTCACTTTTTAACAATATCCATATGAATTTATGTCTCATGTTCGGAAACCCTGGGATTTGGGCAGATGCCAATATTGCGATGCTGCTGTCACCCAGATATTATTAGCTGTAAGGAAGAAACACTGTAGAGAAAACAAACAACTTGTGTATACATTACAGAAACATTTATTCAGATGACCGAAAGTCGAAAGTAATATGCCTCAAGGGAGATCCAAAAACGGGCCAAAATTGTATAGAAAGTATGGTCTTGTGCCATGCTAATAAGCCAAGAGGTTTGCCAAAAGGAAACTGAAAGTTGGGCCAAAACTGTGAGCCTAAAAATACGCCAAAAAATACGCTGGAATGGTAGTCTCTCTCTCTCTCTCTCTCTCTCTCTCTCTCTCTCTCTCTCTCTCTCTCTCTCTCTCTCTCTCTCTCTCTCTCTCTCTCTCATACACACATACATGTAGGCTCGTTCATTCACGCCAACTCTCATCTCTAACATATATACACAATATACACACTCCCTCTCACACATACATACACACATCATACATACATGCTCATTCACTCTCTCACACTCACACACAACCACTCACACACACATATACACACATACATGCATACAGACAGACATGATAATTCAACCTTTCATTTACTCTTACACGCACACAATACACACACACAAACATACATATTCATTCAGTCTCTCTCTCTCTCTCTCTCTCTCTCTCTCTCTCTCTCTCTCTCTCTCTCTCTCTCTCTATCACACACACACACACACACACACACACACACATGCTCATTCAATCTTATATTTACTCTCACACAAACGCACACATACATACAAACCTGCTCATTCATTCACTCACTTGCACACATTCAGACATTAAAAGGATAAAGGAGTCTAAGAGAAGATCTTCCTAAAGAAGGCAGCCGCTCTCGTCAGCGCCTTTCTAAAGGGATGAATCTCTCTGTCATCCACAAAGCTGTGGTCGTCCTCGTCCTCGTACACCCAGTAGTCACTGTCATCATCGTCACTTGGGGCAGGATAGTAATCAGCGTGGTTGATGGTGACGGGGGCGGGGAGCGTCTCACCGTAGACAGGGCGGGCCCAGAACGGAGTGAAGACGCTCAGGGGGTCGGGACAACGGGAAGGGGACACAGCCAGGGAACGCTACACATCGAGGGGATGGAGGGAGGGACAAAGGAAGTCAGGTCAGACAGAAATACGGGATACTTTTGCAAAGAAAACGAATCACAGTTTATTATAGGGACTTGGCAGACTTAATGTGCAACAAATCAGCTATACTAGACGGAAGAATTAACAGGGTGGGCATGTAAAATTATACATACACAGTCGGACTCCTCATCCTGAGACGGCCACAAACTCACAGCCGCAGGAGTGCCATAATAGCGAATTATGTCCTCCCGAGCTGAAAAAGAAAAACGAAAGCTAGGCTCAGTTAAATGTACGCCGACGGCTACGTTCAAAAAATCACAATTTACGACTTCTGAAAGCTACAGTATGTCACTCGACCTCGGCCCTTTGACACCTCGAACTCCAAGTGTATGTAGGGTTACAGGCTGTGCTGCAAGACGACGTTTAACCAATAAAATGGGCCAAACAGCTGCTTTTCACGTAATACAGGTTATCTTACATCTGTACTACATCGCCCGACACTATAATGTACGAACAGGTTTCATCTGAGCACCACATGTCAAGTTTACAATCTAAAATGTTCAGTTAAGACAATTGCAAATGGCGGCCGCCATCTTCAGTCCCGATACAGCTGCCTAACAACGACCAATTTCACGTCTAATTTAACATCTTAATACTGTTAAGTGGAATAATTGTGATCTTAAATACCTTGAATGTGAAGCCTTGTATTCATCTTGGAAGAAGAAACACTTGGAATGATACAGCAGTGAGCAAAACGTAGAGGTCAGCGGAGCAAAAGCGATCGTTTTTTCTGTTGAAAACAGAAGGGACGTCGATAACGGCAACGGTAACTACGTTACGGAGTTCGAGGAGTCAGAACGAGGCTCATCGCCAGCTTCCGGCGTGGTCAAGCCTAATGGCATTGCCGAGGGTGAAACTGCCGGGTTTATTTCGTCTGAACACCGGGATTAAGTTGTAACTTACAACTGAAACGTTGCCTACATCAGTTTGAAAACATTGTGCAGGTGAAACTGGGTGTTTTTCGTGCCTCCATTACTCGAAACAGGGTGAATTTTGTTCACTTTGATATGGATCATCTCTTGTAGACATTAACCTTAAACGTTTGCTAGGCCGAATAGCGATACCATATAACGACCCTCTATTATACCAGCCTTCACAATACCTTTTACATTCGACAGACTGACACGGGCTAACGGGCTAGTAAGAATGCCAATCTCTGATAATCCAAGTGGGAGTGGGGAATTATTCCCTAGCCTACAGGGATAAAATAAAAGTTAAATGGTACTGGTAAATACCAACGTGTGCAGCGACAGTTCTTATTTGGTTTGATTTCTATTCTGGAAAAACGACGACCACAGAAAATAGCTAATAGGAGAGAAAGATAAATGACAAGCATATTGGTTATTACTATACTAGGCCTAAGGGGCCGACCATTTCATGTTCTGTTGGAAGGGGGAGTGGGCGACCTTGGATTTTGTATGGAGACTAGATATTTTTCAGCTACAAATGCAAAATCAGCTAAAATTTGAGCCTAAATAAAACATTTTTCAAAATCCCACCTTGCAACAACGTATTTGTGGTGGCTGACATGTTCTTTTTGTCCAACAGATGGAAGCATAATTAGTTTTCAATCAATTTCGGAGACACTATATTTATTTTCTGAAAAAATCCTAGCGACCCACACACTCACAGTCAGAGAAATCCTATTGACCGTCCCATTTTGAAAACGCTGATGTGGACGTACAGGGGTAGAATTCAGACCCCTTGTATTATTTAGGTATTTTTGTAGAATGCAAGATACGAATATTACGTCATATATATATACATCAATCTACTCTTGCATACGAGTAGGTGTCAGTATAGGCTTTCTACTTGCGCCTGGCCTCGGCCTATGTATAAAAGCATGCCTTCTGCAATATCTGAAGACCACGGGCCAAAGGACCAGCAGTGAGGTCGACTCCTGTAAAGCCATAATGATGAGACGAGTGGAATCCAATATTGACTTGGGCGAAGGGAGATCACTCTCAATCACTTGTCCGACTACTGCTATTAGTTGGGTGAAGTGCTCGTAATATATCCCATGTGGCGACACTTGTGTTTTAGAGAAGGCAATTCTCGATTCGCACTCCTTTAAAAGGAAGCCACAATTATTGTTACATTAGATACGATGAGTTATTATATTGGAATAAAAACATTATTCCAGATAACAAAGTGTCAGAGAGCTGTCCTCAGAGAATATCCCGTGTCACAATTGTCGCCACATAAACATTTAGAAGTGTCTGATCTTAAGGTAACCCCACCTGCTTAGAAATCTTCTGCTAAGTGCAGATCATGAAACTGGGACACAGCAGCACAGCAATATAGGGGCAACATTCACTTTTTAACAATATCCATATGAATTTATGTCTCATGTTCGGAAACCCTGGGATTTGGGCAGATGCCAATATTGCGATGCTGCTGTCACCCAGATATTATTAGCTGTAAGGAAGAAACACTGTAGAGAAAACAAACAACTTGTGTATACATTACAGAAACATTTATTCAGATGACCGAAAGTCGAAAGTAATATGCCTCAAGGGAGATCCAAAAACGGGCCAAAATTGTATAGAAAGTATGGTCTTGTGCCATGCTAATAAGCCAAGAGGTTTGCCAAAAGGAAACTGAAAGTTGGGCCAAAACTGTGAGCCTAAAAATACGCCAAAAAATACGCTGGAATGGTAGTCTCTCTCTCTCTCTCTCTCTCTCTCTCTCTCTCTCTCTCTCTCTCTCTCTCTCTCTCTCTCTCTCTCTCTCTCTCATACACACATACATGTAGGCTCGTTCATTCACGCCAACTCTCATCTCTAACATATATACACAATATACACACTCCCTCTCACACATACATACACACATCATACATACATGCTCATTCACTCTCTCACACTCACACACAACCACTCACACACACATATACACACATACATGCATACAGACAGACATGATAATTCAACCTTTCATTTACTCTTACACGCACACAATACACACACACAAACATACATATTCATTCAGTCTCTCTCTCTCTCTCTCTCTCTCTCTCTCTCTCTCTCTCTCTCTCTCTCTCTATCACACACACACACACACACACACACACACACATGCTCATTCAATCTTATATTTACTCTCACACAAACGCACACATACATACAAACCTGCTCATTCATTCACTCACTTGCACACATTCAGACATTAAAAGGATAAAGGAGTCTAAGAGAAGATCTTCCTAAAGAAGGCAGCCGCTCTCGTCAGCGCCTTTCTAAAGGGATGAATCTCTCTGTCATCCACAAAGCTGTGGTCGTCCTCGTCCTCGTACACCCAGTAGTCACTGTCATCATCGTCACTTGGGGCAGGATAGTAATCAGCGTGGTTGATGGTGACGGGGGCGGGGAGCGTCTCACCGTAGACAGGGCGGGCCCAGAACGGAGTGAAGACGCTCAGGGGGTCGGGACAACGGGAAGGGGACACAGCCAGGGAACGCTACACATCGAGGGGATGGAGGGAGGGACAAAGGAAGTCAGGTCAGACAGAAATACGGGATACTTTTGCAAAGAAAACGAATCACAGTTTATTATAGGGACTTGGCAGACTTAATGTGCAACAAATCAGCTATACTAGACGGAAGAATTAACAGGGTGGGCATGTAAAATTATACATACACAGTCGGACTCCTCATCCTGAGACGGCCACAAACTCACAGCCGCAGGAGTGCCATAATAGCGAATTATGTCCTCCCGAGCTGAAAAAGAAAAACGAAAGCTAGGCTCAGTTAAATGTACGCCGACGGCTACGTTCAAAAAATCACAATTTACGACTTCTGAAAGCTACAGTATGTCACTCGACCTCGGCCCTTTGACACACTCGAACTCCAAGTGTATGTAGGGTTACAGGCTGTGCTGCAAGACGACGTTTAACCAATAAAATGGGCCAAACAGCTGCTTTTCACGTAATACAGGTTATCTTACATCTGTACTACATCGCCCGACACTATAATGTACGAACAGGTTTCATCTGAGCACCACATGTCAAGTTTACAATCTAAAATGTTCAGTTAAGACAATTGCAAATGGCGGCCGCCATCTTCAGTCCCGATACAGCTGCCTAACAACGACCAATTTCACGTCTAATTTAACATCTTAATACTGTTAAGTGGAATAATTGTGATCTTAAATACCTTGAATGTGAAGCCTTGTATTCATCTTGAAGAAGAAACACTTGGAATGATACAGCAGTGAGCAAAACGTAGAGGTCAGCGGAGCAAAAGCGATCGTTTTTTCTGTTGAAAACAGAAGGGACGTCGATAACGGCAACGGTAACTACGTTACGGAGTTCGAGGAGTCAGAACGAGGCTCATCGCCAGCTTCCGGCGTGGTCAAGCCTAATGGCATTGCGAGGGTGAAACTGCCGGGTTTATTTCGTCTGAACACCGGGATTAAGTTGTAACTTACAACTGAAACGTTGCCTACATCAGTTTGAAAACATTGTGCAGGTGAAACTGGGTGTTTTCGTGCCTCCATTACTCGAAACAGGGTGAATTTTGTTCACTTTGATATGGATCATCTCTTGTAGACATTAACCTTAAACGTTTGCTAGGCCGAATAGCGATACCATATAACGACCCTCTATTATACCAGCCTTCACAATACCTTTTACATTCGACAGACTGACACGGGCTAACGGGCTAGTAAGAATGCCAATCTCTGATAATCCAAGTGGGAGTGGGGAATTATTCCCTAGCCTACAGGGATAAAATAAAAGTTAAATGGTACTGGTAAATACCAACGTGTGCAGCGACAGTTCTTATTTGGTTTGATTTCTATTCTGGAAAAACGACGACCACAGAAAATAGCTAATAGGAGAGAAAGATAAATGACAAGCCTATTGGTTATTACTATACTAGGCCTAAGGGCCGACCATTTCATGTTCTGTTGGAAGGGGGAGTGGGCGACCTTGGATTTTGTATGGAGACTAGATATTTTTCAGCTACAAATGCAAAATCAGCTAAAATTTGAGCCTAATAAAACATTTTTCAAAATCCCACCTTGCAACAACGTATTTTGTGGTGGCTGACATGTTCTTTTTGTCCAACAGATGGAAGCATAATTAGTTTTCAATCAATTTCGGAGACACTATATTTATTTTCTGAAAAATCCTAGCGACCCACACACTCACAGTCAGAGAAATCCTATTGACCGTCCCATTTGAAAACGCTGATGTGGACGTACAGGGGTAGAATTCAGACCCCTTGTATTATTTAGGTATTTTTGTAGAATGCAAGATACGAATATTACGTCATATATATATACATCAATCTACTCTTGCATACGAGTAGGTGTCAGTATAGGCTTTCTACTTGCGCCTGGCCTCGGCCTATGTATAAAAGCATGCCTTCTGCAATATCTGAAGACCACGGGCCAAAGGACCAGCAGTGAGGTCGACTCCTGTAAAGCCATAATGATGAGACGAGTGGAATCCAATATTGACTTGGGCGAAGGGAGATCACTCTCAATCACTTGTCCGACTACTGCTATTAGTTGGTGAAGTGCTCGTAATATATCCCATGTGGCGACACTTGTGTTTTAGAGAAGGCAATTCTCGATTCGCACTCCTTTAAAAGGAAGCCACAATTATTGTTACATTAGATACGATGAGTTATTATATTGGAATAAAAACATTATTCCAGATAACAAAGTGTCAGAGAGCTGTCCTCAGAGAATATCCCGTGTCACAATTGTCGCCACATAAACCATTAGAAGTGTCTGATCTTAAGGTAACCCCACCTGCTTAGAAATCTTCTGCTAAGTGCAGATCATGAAACTGGGACACAGCAGCACAGCAATATAGGGGCAACATTCACTTTTATAACAATATCCATATGAATTTATGTCTCATGTTCGGAAACCCTGGGATTTGGGCAGATGCCAATATTGCGATGCTGCTGTCACCCAGATATTATTAGCTGTAAGGAAGAAACACTGTAGAGAAAACAAAACAACTTGTGTATACATTACAGAAACATTTATTCAGATGACCGAAAGTCGAAAGTAATATGCCTCAAGGGAGATCCAAAAACGGGCCAAAATTGTATAGAAAGTATGGTCTTGTGCCATGCTAATAAGCCAAGAGGTTTGCCAAAAGGAAACTGAAAGTTGGGCCAAAACTGTGAGCCTAAAAATACGCCAAAAAATACGCTGGAATGGTAGTCTCTCTCTCTCTCTCTCTCTCTCCTCTCTCTCTCTCTCTCTCTCTCTCTCTCTCTCTCTCTCTCTCTCTCTCTCTCTCATACACACATACATGTAGGCTCGTTCATTCACGCCAACTCTCATCTCTAACATATATACAACAATATACACACTCCCTCTCACACATACATACACACATCATACATACATGCTCATTCACTCTCTCACACTCACACACCACCACTCACACACACATTATACACACATACATGCATACAGACAGACATGATAATTCAACCTTTCATTTACTCTTACACGCACACAATACACAACACCAAACATACATATTCATTCAGTCTCTCTCTCTCTCTCTCTCTCTCTCTCTCTCTCTCTCTCTCTCTCTCTCTCTCTATCACACACACACACACACACACACACACACACATGCTCATTCAATCTTATATTTACTCTCACACAAACGCACACATACATACAAACCTGCTCATTCATTCACTCACTTGCACACATTCAGACATTAAAAAGGATAAAGGAGTCTAAGAGAAGATCTTCCTAAAGAAGGCAGCCGCTCTCGTCAGCGCCTTCTAAAGGGATGAATCTCTCTGTCATCCACAAAGCTGTGGTCGTCCTCGTCCTCGTACACCCAGTAGTCACTGTCATCATCGTCACTTGGGGCAGGATAGTAATCAGCGTGGTTGATGGTGACGGGGCGGGGAGCGTCTCACCGTAGACAGGGCGGGCCCAGAACGGAGTGAAGACGCTCAGGGGTCGGGACAACGGGAAGGGGACACAGCCAGGGAACGCTACACATCGAGGGGATGGAGGGAGGGACAAAGGAAGTCAGGTCAGACAGAAATACGGGATACTTTTGCAAAGAAAACGAATCACAGTTTATTATAGGGACTTGGCAGACTTAATGTGCAACAAATCAGCTATACTAGACGGAAGAATTACAGGGTGGGCATGTAAAATTATACATACACAGTCGGACTCCTCATCCTGAGACGGCCACAAACTCACAGCCGCAGGAGTGCCATAATAGCGGAATTATGTCCTCCCGAGCTGAAAAAGAAAAACGAAAGCTAGGCTCAGTTAAATGTACGCCGACGGCTACGTTCAAAAAATCACAATTTACGACTCTGAAATGCTACAGTATGTCACTCGACCTCGGCCCTTTGACACCTCGAACTCCAAGTGTATGTAGGGTTACAGGCTGTGCTGCAAGACGACGTTTAACCAATAAAATGGGCCAAACAGCTGCTTTTCACGTAATACAGGTTATCTTACATCTGTACTACATCGCCCGACACTATAATGTACGAACAGGTTTCATCTGAGCACCACATGTCAAGTTTACAATCTAAAATGTTCAGTTAAGACAATTGCAAATGGCGGCCGCCATCTTCAGTCCGATACAGCTGCCTAACAACGACCAATTTCACGTCTAATTTAACATCTTAATACTGTTAAGTGGAATAATTGTGATCTTAAATACCTTGAATGTGAAGCCTTGTATTCATCTTGGAAGAAGAACACTTGGAATGATACAGCAGTGAGGCAAAACGTAGAGGTCAGCGGAGCAAAAGCGATCGTTTTTTCTGTTGAAAACAGAAGGGACGTCGATAACGGCAACGGTAACTACGTTACGGAGTTCGAGGAGTCAGAACGAGGCTCATCGCCAGCTTCCGGCGTGGTCAAGCCTAATGGCATTGCCGAGGGTGAAACTGCCGGGTTTATTTCGTCTGAACACCGGGATTAAGTTGTAACTTACAACTGAAACGTTGCCTACATCAGTTTGAAAACATTGTGCAGGTGAAAACTGGGTGTTTTTCGTGCCTCCATTACTCGAAACAGGGTGAATTTTGTTCACTTTGATATGGATCATCTCTTGTAGACATTAACCTTAAACGTTTGCTAGGCCGAATAGCGATACCATATAACGACCCTCTATTATACCAGCCTTCACAATACCTTTTTACATTCGACAGACTGACACGGGCTAACGGGCTAGTAAGAATGCCAATCTCTGATAATCCAAGTGGGAGTGGGAATTATTCCCTAGCCTACAGGGATAAAATAAAAGTTAAATGGTACTGGTAAATACCAACGTGTGCAGCGACAGTTCTTATTTGGTTTGATTCTATTCTGGAAAAACGACGACCACAGAAAATAGCTAATAGGAGAGAAAGATAAATGACAAGCATATTGGTTATTACTATACTAGGCCTAAGGGGCCGACCATTTCATGTTCTGTTGGAAGGGGGAGTGGCGACCTTGGATTTTGTATGGAGACTAGATATTTTTCAGCTACAAATGCAAAATCAGCTAAAATTTGAGCCTAAATAAAACATTTTTCAAAATCCCACCTTGCAACAACGTATTTGTGGTGGCTGACATGTTCTTTTTGTCCAACAGATGGAAGCATAATTAGTTTTCAATCAATTTCGGAGACACTATATTTATTTTCTGAAAAAATCCTAGCCACCCACACACTCACAGTCAGAGAAATCCTATTGACCGTCCCATTTTGAAAACGCTGATGTGGACGTACAGGGGTAGAATTCAGACCCCTTGTATTATTTAGGTATTTTTGTAGAATGCAAGATACGAATATTACGTCATATATATATACATCAATCTACTCTTGCATACGAGTAGTGTCAGTATAGGCTTTC